ATTTTGGATATAATTTTTGTGCGTAAGAGATGCATAGAAAACGAAGAAATTGTTACTGAAAATCGAATGAGCGATGCTAAGTGTTCGATATTTTCATTCGATTACAAGGTAGGAGATGAATAAAATAATCCCTATTTTTTTTCTTTTTCACATGATATTATATTTTTAATTAACTAATATCCACGAATTAATAAATTTTCAATCGAGAAAAAATAGGAGTTAAAATTTCGAATCGTTTCACGCCAGGCTCGTTATCATTTTCCTTCTTTCTTTTTTTTTTTTTTCTTTCTTTACGCTTTCACGGCCACCTTCGCGCTTTCGACGATAACTTGACATATCAGAACACCATCTTCGATCACGCTCAGACCAATGATAAGTGGATTTTTTATCGCTATTTCGAGGTACACGTTCCTAATCACATCGAAGATGTCTACCAAGGCTTCGATAGATTCGCTGCTGCGGAGTGCTAATTGTATCCCATTCTTGAGGGCGGCTAATAAATCGGCCGAGCCTTCTTCCAGCGCGTTTGCAACCTGATCTCGGGCTGCCTCAATCTGTGATTTCGCCTCCTTCGAATATTTCGAGAGATTCGGTAATTTCAATCGGTCCTCCGCCGCTTTGAGCGCCTTGGTCAAGTTGACGGTGCCCAAGTTACCTTTTGCTATGGCTAAATATGGTGAAATATTTTCATCAGAGAAATACGTTCAAGAGAATACGTGTAAGTGATATTTTCGATAGATATTACAATATTTTTATTTTATATCGATATCGATAGTTTGTTAATAATCGCTCGATTTTTAAAGATCGATTTCGAGATCGTCGATAGAATCGATGCTATCGTGGATAGGTTAAATTAATAATTTTGCCAGTGGTTGGGATAAACGAAACTATATATATATATATACGGGCTCTTCAAAGACAAATGGAAATGTATATCGTACCTGAAGCTCCTTTTCCAAATTGTTTTATTATGTTATCAGCAGATTTACCGATGTTCTTAAGTGCATCTACCGCTGTTTCCTTCGATTCGCTGGAGCTCTTTAACGTAAAGAAAAGTGTCGTTTTAATTTTCGTACAAACGTGAAAACAATTTGTTTATTGATATTAAATATTCTGATCTCTATGACGATAAGTAGTACGTGTCTACGTGATAAGAGATGTTGCGAGGAAAATTTTTTCCTTTTTTTTTTTTTTAAGAATTCTAACAATTTTTATGATAAAAATATAAAATCAAAAAGAGAGAGAGAAAAGAATTCGAGATGATCGAAAACGTTCATTCGTCATTCGTGGAAAAATGAAAAATTGTAATTTATCCACTTACACTGTCAGCAATAGCGTAGGAGATGGTGGCGGCGAAGAGGAGGAAGAACAGTGCTTTCAACTGCATTTTGTTGCGATTGATTTGTAATACGATTTTGTGATACGACTTTCAGGAAACTACACGTTCTGGCAAAAGAACGCCAAGTATTTATACTAATTCCAATCAATAGCTAGTTTATTAACAAAAGATAGAGCACACAATAGCGCACAATTGCTGTACAATGGCAATTTACAATTATTCTTACGTCAAAGCATTATTCAATTGCATCTTCTGCGAGATGAATGAATGTCAAAGACTGCACATATGTTACATGTTAATTGTTTGCTCAACACAATACGTTTGTTCTTCTCTTCTAATTTGATACAATTTTGAATATCTAAAATATCTAAAATATCGATATTCGATTCTCGTGCGGGCAATCCGGATATCCGGCTTTTCTTCATTTCATATTTTCTTTCATCTTCTCGCGATCAACAAGTATCGTAAAATTCGTGTGAGAATTGGAAGATATCCAAAAAATACTTTCTTGCAATATTTCATTAAAAATAAATCCAAATTTCATATTTCCAACTGTATTTTATAACATTTTAGGATTAAAAAAAAAAAAGAAAAAAGCTCGATTCAAATATTCATCGATATTAATCAATGCGGAGAAACGAATAAAACTTCAAACTTCTCGGAAATATACCGAGACAGAAACTCGCGTAAGATTAAGGAAGATTTTTCAGATGCGATCTCGAAATCAAAAGTCGCTCGATCATTCTGCGACTTCCATCGCACTTTCGATGCATCGAGGCCTGCTTCCAATTTGAATTCTTTCCCGAGACTTGGGAATTTTTGGAAGATCGAATCTTTTGAGGGGAATTTTCGCTTCGAAGAAGGGAATGAACACGCGGCATCCCGCCTCGAAAGTTTTCCTTTCACCCGAATCCACCGATTCGTGAACGAAGACAGCGTGCCTCCTTCGCAACGTACACGTAAACAAAATCCACGCCACTATGCGGTGCGTGTCGTGTCTGGAAGAATTCCGCGAATCTTGACTTAGCCGCCGTTTCGCTCCTCTTCTTCTTCTTCTTCTTCTTCTTCTTTCGTCGCGACGATCCCGCGCTTTTGGGGGAATTTTCGCGAGGCTGAATGAAAACAACGCTACGTCCAACTATCGAGTCAAACTCTCAACTATTCCTCAGATCTTGGCCCCGTTGAAAGAGAGAGATCACGGTCAGAGATGAAAGGAAGTTGGCACGGGCAAAGAAAGAATGGCCTCGTTCTGCCGAGTTCGCCCTTGGAATTCAGCCATTCTCTGAAAGATTCGCTGCAAGATTCGCTTCCTTCCCGATCGTTCGTTAAAAGTTGGAATTCCGTCGGTATCGATGATGCGAGGATATTTTTATTTCTTCTTTTTGCTCTCGACAAGTTTCGCTTGTCAAAATATCGTTGAAGAGAGAACACGTAGTGAATTGTTATCGATCGTGAAGTGATCAAGTGTCAGTTTAAAATTTTAGGAACATTGGCTAATATTCATATTGGTTCCGTATTTATTTCGAGATTACATTACGAGATGGCTTCGGTGGAAAATTCGAAATCGCTTGCGATTTATTTGAATCGCGTCTACCCCCGTCTATCGATACATCATTTTTGACACGGTGAATGTAGAGAAGGTGGAGTGGAAAAAAATTGTAAGAGTTGCTCGCGAGAAGCGAATGAATCTTCCCTTTTGTACGCCCGCACCCCTTGCATCGAATACAATGAGGAACAGTATTAACAGCTGCGTCACTTGTATCGTCCGCGTTTATTACATCCATCGTCCATGATTAATCGTTACTTTGCATACATCAATTTTTAAGAAGAATAAAATATATGTGTTATTCTCCTTTCGAAGAAATTAGTCAACGCGTTCACCAAATTTCCTTCGTTCTTTTCCGCCAAGGAATGGAATACTTTTAACCCTTCGCGCTCCAAGCGAGTTTTTCGCTCGCAAGCAAACTTTGAAAGCAATATTAATATATCGCCACGAACTAACACTGAAAACGTAGTTCGATCCGCGATCAAACATAAATAAAATATTGTCGTCGTTCGTCTTGCTGCATCAATTCAAACGGTGTCGAGGAATTATCGCATCACCGAGACGATTGAATATTAATCAAAACTTTCTTGCTTGATAGATTTTGAATTGGTATTTATTCTAATTATAGTAAATTAATAATTTTAGGATTTTTATTTATTATATTATTAATTTTCATATTTAGTGTTCTTAATTTTCAGAGTTTTGTGTAATATGTATAAAACTCTTTAAATAACTTTAATATCGATGCTCAATAATATTCAATAAATATTTACGTGATATATTTTAAATATGGATATATTTTGAGAGTCACCAAAGACCGTACACCTTCGACAAAGATATTCGTATATTCAAAATATAATGTCATCACTCAATCGAAAATCCAAAATCCTAATCGAGACGAAACGTTTCTAAGGCCCACGTGTTGCCTATATATATATATATACGAAATTACAGGCTTCCACGACGAGACTGTCAGAGGCAGGCACGCCTTGCACCCTCTCCGAATAATACGCGGAGAACAAGCGGCGAGGGATGCATAATGGGGGAGGAAAGAGGAATGGAGAGAAAGAAAGGCGCGTCTCCTCGATCGCGAGAGGGATGGTACAACACGTGCTCGGTCCGCTTTCACCCTTCTCATCGAAGACGACAATCGAGTGCTCGTCCTGTTCGGTATTTAATACGTTTTCTCGTCTGTCATCCGCCGATTCGATAACGCGTATCCACGTCACCTTACCACGTGGTGCTTTTCAGGGAAAAGAAAAGAAAAGAAGAGAAGGGAGACGGAAAGGGCGACAAGAAAAGGGTTCGCGCCTTTTGATTTATGTAGTCGTGCCTGTGAAACGACGGTGAACATCAATCAACCGGGAACATCGATGGGGTGGCTGGCGAGCCATCGAGCAGGCATGTGATCATCCGAATCGACAGCTCGGATGAACGCGCGAAAAAAACAGAGTCTTGATAATTCTGTGCTCTGCTATCCATTCTTCTATCTGTGCGCCTCTTGTTGCATTAGAAATTTTTCTATAAAGATAAGACACGATGTTCGATTGGAACGATCGAATTGGAAGAATGTTTTTCGTTAAAATTTTTGCGTTTAATTCCTCGTTTAGGACGTTTTTCGTGAGGATGATATGTGCGCGTGTATTAATTTACGATTGTTTACGTTGCCTCTGATACGCGTTTTCGACGAGTTGGGGAGTTGCATTTTTTCTTCCTTTTTTTCTTTCTTTTTTTTTTTTTTTTCGGTTGACCGATAGCCTGGCAAACAGTCGGGTTACCCAATGATCGCGGCGTTGACGCACGTGCGTGATTGGCAGAAATTCATTTCACGCGATTTACATGCCACGGAAATTGCGTGTCTGCGCCGCGTATATATCCCGAGACCCTTTGTTTAGATGGCAACGTTTGTCATCGCGTAGGTGAGCTGTCGTCCCGAGATCTCAGACGGCTCGGGCTGGCGACGACCCCTTTCACGCTCGAATATTGGGCACAGATGCAAAACGCTGAGATTGGTGACGTGTCTGAGGGCTGTTCAAGATCGTTCAACGAGGAGGATCCATTATCTTCGTGGACGGGACGAGTTCTTCTTCCCGAGACTGTTATCTGAAATTTAAAATTTTATTGAAAATTATATATTATTAAATCCGATTGGATAAATTTCGTGGCAAAATTTTTATTAACCGTTGAGATCGGTTGAGATAATATTGTTCATCGAACATCGTTAAACGGTTAATTCCTATAATTTTATATAATTATTCTCTCAAATTTAACGCCTCCAATCCTATCCTTGTGTATCTCTCTTAACTTCATAGAAAATCGTCGTGTGCGCAGAATTGACGATATAGCAGAAAAATATTCGAACATTTACACACAATGCGCTTGCAAAGTCGTAAGTCGTGCTCAAGGAAGCAAAATCGCAGTTTTTTCGGAGCGAAATCAAATCAGTGATCAAGGTTTACGGGATTGGCAGGCTTGGATGTCCGCTGGATGGCGTGAAATTGTAAGATTATTCGTTTTAGCAGGACCGATTCCGCAATCAAGTGCTACAGAGGGGTTGAAACGGGTTTTCCTGCCTCCCCTCCTCCTCGTCCCCTTCCCCCGGTGGCGGGGCCGGCCACGCGATGCAGGCAGGCCGCATGCATCGACGCTGCAATGTTTGCCGATCAAACAGACTTTATAACGAGATGAACGCGTGCAGTTTGTTGACGGAAAATATTGAACGATCGTAAGGCCCCCTCCCGACATTGTGCTCGACAAAAGGCCGGCTGGTATATTTTCCATTGAATGAGGGGAAACGATTCTTCCATCAGCCACCAGATATATGTATATACATACCTGATTTCTCTTGCTTTTAAACGTTAAATAAATCCGTATTCAAAGGATGTGCTCGTGACACCGTTTCGTTGGATACGTCGATTTAATGGTCGGACACGATCAATGGCAAATTTCTTTTCCAACGTGGAAAGTATCCGGATGGGATTCTCCAAAAATGATATATATATAGATGTACTTGTAGATACAAGAAGAAAGTTTCGTCTTCGATTCATTTTTCTCGAGAGATGGTGTTTCCATCCCATTGTCGTCGTGTTCGACACGACTGGATGGAGGGGTGTTCAGTCACCTATGATTTCCTGTGGACACGTTGATAACGAGTTCTTAACGCCAGGGATCCATTGTGAAACTCTCTTCAAGAGTCGAATATCCCGTGAACGAGGGGGAGGGGATCGTTGGTAATTGCGTCTGACCGCATCGCTTGAAATCCAATCGCTTCCGTAATATCGCAGTTCTATGGACTGATAATTGATAATAATTGTCCACGATAATTTATTCGTCCACGGATCGAATTTTGAAACTTTTCCAAACAATTTTATTATACGCGTAAATACGATATCGATCCAGAGATACTTGTTCGTTCCAAGCAGGTTACATGTTGGAATTTCGTGAAAGAATTGAAAAATAGATAAAAAAAAAAAAAAGAAGAAAGAAAACCGCGGAGATAAATCCTCCTTATGGCGAAATCTCATAAATTATTAATTGGAAACGGAACCAGTGGCGACG